TATATATATATATATATATATATTAGGGATGCACCAATACCGTTTTTTCGGTATCGAGTATGAGTACCGATTATTTTTTATCAGTACTCGCCGATACCGAGTACCAATATTGGCATCCCAAGGTGGCGTGTGCCCGGCTTCCCAGCCAATCAGGAAGTCATGATTGGTCAGGAAGCCATGCTGCCTCGCAGTTTTGCTAGACAGTGTGAAGCCGTCTTCCTAGCCAATCAGGTAGCCGGGCAGCAGATCATAATGAAGCCAGCTCCATGCGGCACTACCAGTTAGAGGGAATCTCCCTCTGAGTGGCAGTTCCGGTATCGGGGCAAGTATCAGAGCATTTGTTACTCGCCACGAGTACTCGTCCAAATGCTCAGTATCGGAACCGATATCAGTATCGGTATCAGTGCATCCCTATTATATACTGTATATGTACTGTAATATAGTCAGTTTAATCCCAACACTATATTAAAGTATAAAAGACTAAATGCTATAGCATGCTCTTTTGGAGAAGCGTATGTTGCATACAAAAGAGTGGTATAAGCAGTATGCTTTTTTCTCCCCATCTGCTCTTTGAGTTTTCCCTATACACAAGTAATAATTACTAATCTACAGTACACATAGCAGATTTTACAGGAGATATGATGTACTTTGAGAAAAGCTGCTGCTCCTTATATACCAGAGTTGAGAACATATAATTCATCATTTCAACCTGTTCAGCAATTTCTGCGTGCTGTATGTGCACTCTAGGGGCACGCAAGTGTTTGAATGTCATTTGCAGCTGAACAGCACCATCTACTGGACGATTGTATTAATGCAGCTTTCAATTGTGCTGCAACTGTGCTGCTGTATTCAAGGATTTCATTTCAGAACAATAATGTAAAAAATATATACAAAAGAAAAAATTAGATGAAGGAAAAAAGGATGCATATATATAAGAGGAAATAAGGGAATCAATAATGGCGAGGCTGAACCTTAATAATTTAACAAGGGTTTCTGATTTACCATTAGACCTACATATACTCCCTTCAAGAGAAAAATCCACTTGATGCAGGATAGAGCTACTACTAGCACACAGTATTCATTTTGCAATAATCATAAATTGTGATTATTGCAAAATAATTATTGCAAATTGAAATTGTTTGAAAGCACATTCTGCTAACATCACTAAATATAAACAGATAATACGTTACACTACTTTTCTGCAAGGGAAAACAGAAAACTCTCACAAATGATGTTTTGCATCCAACTCCTTTTACATGAGAGCAAAACCTTTTTTCTTAGTTCAGAGCTATCCATGTAGGCCTTTCTGAAGGGGATGAGTGACCACATTCATAGACAGAGCCAGATGTCCACACATCCTTTGGCACCCACAGTAATTCCTCTCTGTGAGATCACCCTTTTATATACTTTTATAATGTTACTGCTCCTAAACTGGCTTGGGATATTGTATAAAAGTCTAAATTAGTTTATTTGAGATGGCTCTATTTCTACTTATGATAGGAAAAACATGTGGCCAATGTATATATCATACAGGAAAACTTACCTGTATAATCTTAGATACACCAACTGTGCCTAATGCTAAATTCAGCCCTGCTTACGGGTAACTACCGTAATTAGGTTTAATCCTGTGCACATTTCTTATTGATTTGGAGGCATGAATACACCATGGACAATATGCTGTCCCCAGAAAAAGTTAGTTTCTTAAATTCCACTGAAGACAAATATAGTGAACTGGATGGAGTACTTTAACTGCAGGGCTCATTTACACCATGTCCAGTGAGCTGCATTTTTCTGCACCCCATCATACATTTTATGGTGTGAGCAAGGCACATAGAAAACAATTGCTCTCTATGTGCCCTGTTCATACCATATATGTGCAAGTGTGTGCAGAAATATGCAGCTCAGCAGACATGGTGTGAACAAGCCCTTTATGTAGCCTATTAATGGACTGCTACAAATGAACACAGATAGGTCAACTGCAAAGTGGACAGAGTCTTGGCTGAACTGGATCTGAATTCCAGGTTATCAAAATTTGCAAATACTATAGACTAGGTTCATCTGCAGAAAGTAACATTTTACTGAATGGACTTTACAGTTTAACTGCAGTCTAGAAAGTAATCTACGAAGCTTCGAAGCTTGTAGTAGTTAGACTGGGCATACACAAGAAGCTTTCAGGCTGAATTAAAAAAAATTAACTGGTTTGTCCCAAATCAATGCTAACAGTGTGGATGGGAGAAACAGAATACCCGAACAGGAGGCTTCCGGTAGTGAAGAACTGGTCATCAAAAACCGGCCTAAATTCACACAGTGTATGGCCAGCTTTAGTCACATTCAATTAGACACAATTTATAATGTTAAATATTTCACTACTCATCAGAACTGAAGAAGTTACTTAGATGAGTAGGTACCATCTTCAACATTATAGAACAAGTCCATATACATGTGGCTATCTACTATAGCTATATTGTGACCTGGATAAATGAGAACCTTCACAGACTAAGGACAAATCCTTTGAGGTGGAACATTTCAAAGATACAACGATGTTGCCGGAAATTACCGTTGTTTCCACTGTTTGTGTGTGATGCTTGGATAGACTAATCACTTTATTTTTCTCTTCAAAGTCTTCACTGAAAATCTGATTCACAATCTGCTGACTTAAACCTGCTTGTCATGCTTATAAATTGCTAATTATTTCCCAAGCAGACAGGTGTTATAGAAATAGGAATTACTCTGTATATGTGAAGCCAAATTGTGGTTATGAAATGATGCAACATATGTTTGATGGTGTTAATAATGTTGGGAAAGAACCTTAGCACTGCCAATTCCTCTGGCTGTGATTCTGGGTATAATTATGGGAAGTGTAATGCAGCTGGGTAAACCTGTTCCTAATGAAGTTACCGTAAGTAAGTGTATTTCCTTATGTCATACCATGACTCGTCAGCCTAGAAGACTTTACTTTGTTTCATTAACTAACTCAGCATGTTAAACCTCCTTCCTGTCCAGGCCATTCTTCAATTTTCACTGCTGTGATACTTTGACTGACAATTACTTGGACAAGCAACACTGTACCCGAATTCATTTTTAATAATTTCTTTGTGATAGATAGAGACCATTCTTTTGGTGGTAATTAATAACTGCTTTTTTTTACTAAATGCAAGGAATATAAAGGAAAAATAAAACATTTAGAAAAAAACCCAAAACGTTTTCCCTTTCTGTTATAAAGCATATCAAATAAAAATGCCAGGACAATACAAAAGCCCCAAAATGACTCTTCTTTGGAAAGTAGACACCCCAAGGTAATCCTATTTTTTTTTTTTCGTATAAAGAAACATGCTGGTATTGAGGTGATTAAGGCGTGCTTAGCCTATAAAAGGTGCCTATTCAAGCCAAGTGCAATTCTTCTGTTATTAATCAAAGAAAGTTCTCAGGAGAATTAAATTGCATTGCATTGATGTGCCCCTGTTCCTTAATGGCTCAAGTGTTTACCTTTTCCTTTTGATTGATGGTTTTTGTTGGTTATCTCTTATTTTGTTATGCATCTCAAAACTAATAAAAATATTTTTTTTGAAATGCATTGCATTGAAATTAAAATATGTACAATGGCTAGATGTCATGAATAAATACAAACCACTTTAAATCCCCCCCATACAATCCCATTATCATGGCTGGTCAGTGACACTTTAAACACCTCTCCAAAAATGAAAATAAAAAACAATCGCTGGTGGCCTGTAACATTTGAAATCCTCCACCCCCATTATTGGTGGTCATTGAGTCATTGACACATTAAACCCTCTCTTTCTCTAAAACAATTTCACAACATTGGTGATCAGTGCCACTTCAAACTACCTTGAATTACAAGCCTTCCGTCTGCTGCAGTCTTTCTTTTCTCACCTTCCATCATACTGTGATCCCCCTTCTTTCTCTTCCTCCATTGTGAGATCAAGAGGAGAGTTTTCAATTGTAGTAGATAGATGTCACCAGCACACCTAAAAAATTTGAAGTCCAAAGTGATAGTTTATTTAAAACGTCATGTCATCAGAATGATGATCTGATGACATGACGTGTGCTGGTGACATCTATATAATAACATTGTTTGGCGGCGCCATCCGCAGTCATTACAAGCACCCCTCCTTTGAATTGGGGATCTCCAATAAGGAGTATGACAAGGCAACACTACTTTTGTTACGGTTCTCAATTGTACACACAAGGAGTGCTTACAATTGTGATTGCTACGAATGGCCATCACAGAGATCACAAGGTACAGAGCCACTCTGATTTACACTGTGGGGTTGATTTACTAACCTTACAAACACACCACGAACATGTATACACCTCTGTAGTGTGTTCCCTCCCAGCATGATCTATGGGTGGAATCTAAACACCTTTGTAGTGTGTACACACCGAGCAGGTGTGTTGTGCAAAGCCTTGCATGAATTCCAAGGTGATGTTGTGTAAATTAGCTCTATGTTATGTTGCTTGCGTTGATGAATGCAGGAATGTAAATGCATGAGCTAACCATTTTTGTCTAAACTGTGAAGCAGCATTATATATGCATCATGTGCATGATTTTTCCATATATGGCATTAGTGGAAATATGCTTTTAGAGACTTTTTGGTTGATAAATACGTTTTGCTGTGTGAAAATCACACGCACCTGGTGTGTGCGTGTGTTTAGGTTAGTAAATCACCCCCTGTGCCTTTTGTTTGTGATCTGCACTGTCTGAAAACAAGGATGTCTATTAATGCGCACTCTAGATTGGCCATTTAACTACAAGGGCCAGTCGAGAAATTATTAATGTAGTTCGATCATCAAGGTCAACAGTTTGCATAGAGTATGGTCTAGGGCAGCAAGGCTGCCAAGGGTGGCCCATAGCTCCACACATATTGCTGACTGAGCCTGTACACAGAGAACAAAGATGCTCGTAGAATATGGTGACAGTTTCACCTTCTCTTTTCGGTGTACTAGTGAGCAGTGGACACCCTGTCAATTTCATTCTCTCTGCCCCTAGCCTTGATGTGTTTCATCTAAGTATGACGTCTGATCCTGTTAGTGTGGTATTATTGAAAGCTGATTTGATGGGTTAGAAGAGGTATAAGACTCTTGGCCTAGGAGGGAAGGAAGTATACATTTGGCATTGGGACTATGCCCACTCATAGAGATTATGCACCTTAATACTACTACTAGATCTCAATATAAATGAGATAATATTTACCTGGAATAAGTTGTGATTTTAGAATTACCAGATCACCTTTCAGAGCAGGCAAGCTTTGAAAATATGTCTGTATGTTCTTCCTTGCAACCACTTGATATTCTTCATCGGAAATACCATTGCTTATTTGTTTGGCATTGCATGGGAATGTAATGCTATCCACCTGACAGTACTTTCCATAACACTCTATCATGAAGTTATAGGCAGGAGTAAACAAATTTTCTAAATAAATATCCATGTGTATCCTTCTTTCCTGCGGCAGGATGACAAGAATCCTAGTTATGTCCAGTTTATCGATTTCTTGCTTGATGGAGTAAAGTATTGCAGCCATGTTGGAGTCCCTTACCACCGTGTATCCATTTTCCAGATTATTAAACTGTGCCTCTGTGAAGTCAGATAATACATCTGCACTACCGTCCTTACAAGCAGGGTCCTGGTAGCACATAAAAAAGGTAAATGGAACATTTGTGTTATATCGTCTTTTGATGATTCCCCAAATGTGGGTAATAACTTTTTGTTTGTCGAGGTCTATGTGACACCCTGAGTCAAAAAGATCTATCAGTACAACCTCTTCATTGCTGCTTTCTTCAACCATTATGGACCTGGAACACAACAGAGATGGTACCATTAACTCTAAAAGTTGTTTTAGTAACAGAATGCAATAAACATAATACCGTTATGTTCTAAGTGTACTAAGTGTTCTGGTGCCTATTGCCTCAAAGCTTCAAATAAGGCAATAGGCATCAATCACCCACAAGAGATTATTTCAGGGATTCTGTTAGCAACATAAGACATATTTAGGAGCCTACCATACAAAGAAACTTTACTGGATGACAAATGTATAAAAGTGCATCCAATTCAAAGTAAAGAATGGCTCTTCATCATCATTTCGGAACGCTTTGGTCTAAACAGGAGCTAACTAGAAATGATAATAGCCATTGCATTAAGGTTTTAAAGGACAGAGTGTAAATAAACCTTGTGCTAAGAAAAATATGGACACTGCCATTGCTGACCATCTTCTGGAAATGCTAACTGCCTCATTGTCTCTGGCCTCAATATTTTCTAAATCATTGACCCAGAACCAACATGCAACAAAGAAAGTGAAAATTTATGTAAGCAAAATCTTTGGGGTCATTGTTTTAGAAAATAGTGAAACCATTGGATCAGTATGGACGGTAGCCAGGAAATTAGAATTTTCAAGTTAGCAATGGCTGCCATATGTCTTCAGTTGGGGGTTCTAGAAATGTATTTAAAGTAGAACTAAAGCCAAAACTTAATTTTTAACTTTGATTAGAGCAAGGGAAGGTCATGACTTTTTTTGCCATTTGTGTCCCATTGGGGAGATTTCCCTTCACTTTGTCTCCAATAGCAACAACAGGAAGTGAGAGGAAATCCCTCCAAGGAGAATATGTCTGTGAAGGCTCTCATTTATCCAGGTCATGGTATATCTGTAAAAAAATAAATCAAGGCAACTGGACTTGCTGTATCTTTTTCTTGAAGTCGTTTCGCTGGTCATCCGACTAGCTTTCTCAATACAAATTTGAAAACGCTAGTCAAATCACCAGTGAAACATCTTCAAGAAAAAATTAAAGCAAGTCTAGTTGCCTTGCTTTATTGTTTACAGATACCTCCAAAGAGAAGGAAATCCCTTGTGGTCAGCAGGGTCATCAGAACTAGAGTCCCCATCTGTTCTGATGACCACCCAAAATTTGTGATTTTCTTTCAGTTTTAGTGATAACAGTAACAAGGACAAATAGAGAGGGTGAATCTCCCTAATGGTGACACAGACAGAAAAACATACATGTCTATGGGATTGCAAAAGCTGCTAAAGCAGTTCACATGCAAGTTACCAGCACCTGCGATGGATTCCAAATGATCTCAGAAGCATCTCAAACTGATGTCAAAAGCATCCTGCATTTGACCATCAAAGCCCATCGACACAGGTCATAAAGTAATAAAGTATTTTAAAAAAGTACATTCATTATTATTATGCACTTCATTGTCAAGCATATAAATTCACACAACCAACTGACTAAGCATAATCAGGAGTGAAGGAACTCAGAGATGAATTAATTACTTTGTCTAGAACTCAGATTGTGCTCTTGCTCGCTGGTGTCTTAGAATCATTATAAACTCCCTGACTCCAGGTCAAGTTACTTTCTTCATTAGCAGACTCCCAGCAATTATGTTCAGCATGCTGGGTTCACATAAAATAATTGCATGCTGTTACTGGATTGGTAAAGCAGGCATTGTGGTTGCTGTACACCCATCTCACTTGTCTTCAGTCAGGTAGACCTAGTGATAGGTGGCACACTGCATTAGAGTGTGAGCACTTTGTTGCTACAGAAAACCACACAACAAGGACCATGCAGGGAATAGATTTCAGTACCATAAGACAAAGCTCATACCTCCTACCTTTCTGAGATGAGAAAGAGGGACACCTCATAGAACAATGTATTTAGGTAATGGACACATCCCGGCCATACCTCCAGTTATACCTTGTTTACATGCAGGGCCGGCGCTGCCGCTAGGCAAACTAGGCAGCTGCTTGTGGCGCACGGCCGCCTAGGGCACAGCTTCTACCAGTGGCAGTGCCAGTGTCAGATTCCAGTGTGAGGCTCCAGTGAGCGGAGTGCCCGAGCGACCCGGGAGAGGCAGGCAGCGGTGCCTGAAGGGATACGGAGCAACTCACGTGGTGCAAAGGGTAGGCAGCACCAACGACTCCGGGGCAGGCAGCAGCAAATTTAAAGCACTAAGGACGGTGTAATTAACCCGCACTGTGTGCAGATCAGCTCAATTATCTAATAATATACAGATGAAATAAGTAAACAGGCACATTCACATGATTGGATAACTGAAGAGACTCTTCACACAATTTTTTGAGAACATTCTAAAATCCTTTAGTAAATCAGCCTCTCTACTCTGATCTCCTAGGAGTTAATAAAGCAGCAATATTTACTTTCATCATTGCTTATAGCATGTCTATGTCTCAATTTTTTGACAATAAAAAATACAATTATACCCAGGCTGGCTGGATCTAATCAGGCACCGTAGAGGGCCGCCCACGGGGGCCTTCCGAGGTCAGCCTTGACGGGCCCCCTGACGGCCGCGGGAAGGGGCCATTTTTAAAGGCAGCAGAGAGGCCCGGGGGGCAATTGCCACCCTGCCCCCCGGCCCAGTCCGCCCCTGACCATGGGCATTGTTGTGCGACGAGGTGTGATGTGGGCGATCCCACTGCCCCCTCCCGCCCCAGAATGCAGGGAGGCTGTAATTATGCGATCCAGTGTGTTCCAGCTACTAACTGTGCTGGAACACACTAGGCTAGGTGTTAACAAGCCCTAAAAGAAACCTACAGTCAAACCTATTTTTTGGCTTTAGTTCTCTTTTGGTCACAGGAGTACATTTACTAAAATCGGGCTACCGCTTGCTATATGCTGACAGCACAGAGTCATGCTGCAGCTGGGAAGGATCTCAACAGCATTGCCAGGATTTAATTGGCTGTCTGATTGACAGCTGGCTCTACCCCTCTAGATCCAGAACCAGCTGTGCCCGCCCCCTCCTCTGCCTTTCGCTTCAGTGAGCTCTGGAGGGATAAAGAAAGTGGAGGGGGGAATCCCTGTGGGGAGGGATGACTGACTGTGACTGCTCTATGTGGAGAAAAGAGACTGTGAGCTGAGCAATCAGCGGTTACACGATCACTGAGCTCTCAGTAAATAGAGCAGATGTGTGACAGCTGCAGTGTCCCACACCAGCACTAAGATTTGGGAACAGCGCAATCTAGTGATTTGGCACTGCTGTGGCCGCAGCTGCAGTGGCTCCCTCCCTCCGCTGCCTCTTTGCCACATGCACACGGCCGGCCAGCCTGCCCGCATCAGATGCAGCTCTGTACTCAGCTCAGAGTATAAAGGTGCCCATACACCTTACGACCATCGCAACACTTTTGTCTTGCGATGGTCGTATGCTTCTTGAAAGGCCGTACGATCTGCCCCCCTTGGATGGGCAGATCGTACTTGCGATCATCAAAAGCCCGCCCCGCTGAGGCTCGACAAAAGACGTGCGACCGTACAGTAGAAACGGTCGCACGTCTTAGTTCACACTGCTCGATTCTCGTACGATCGCGGGATTTTGCCCGATTCTCGTACGAGAATCGAGCAGTGTATGGGCAACTTAAGGCAGGGCAGGACAAATCCCAGGAGCCAGGTATTCAATGCTCCTTTAAAACGACAGCTGCCACTTATCTTTTGAGGTTTTCTCTAGTTGTTGTCAATGGAGCTGGCTCCTGAAATATCCTGCTGGCTGCTGGATTGGACAGACAGGCTACTGAATTCCATATTCATTTGTCCACCCCGAATTAAGGTCTCTGTTTTTAACAAGCATGGTTCATTTGTACTGTTGCATTCAAATAACAGCTGTATTATGAAATATCTCAATTCTTGTGCAACAAGTAAGAACGTGAATGAGTATAAAATAAGTTACTTACTGTTGTTGTACATGCAGATCCTGTTCTTGTCACTGCCAGCTTTCAGCAAATACAGATTTTACTTCCTTTTAAATACAAGTGATTTAAATGACACTCAGCGTACGTAGAAGTTAGTCTCCACCCTCTTCTTTCCCACAAATCTACTGGCTGCCTGAAGCCTGGTTTATAAAGGTGAAGAAGTGCTAGCTCAGACTTTCCCAGGGCTTTCTCATTTGCAAACTTGTGTCTAAAGGCTTCCTTCATTTCCTTCTTTTTCACAAAAAGGGTTGTATATTCTGACTGTATGCTCAAAGAACCACTATGGAAAATCCAAACCGCTTCTGAATGACATTTGTCATTTACTGGTCCGTTTCTAACTGAAGGAGGAAGTTATGCAGAATAAAAATACACAAATAGTGTTACATAAGTATGATTAATATCTTGTACATAGATTGACATAGTAAAGACGATACCATCACCATTGTGTGGTCATACACAACTGATTGTGTCTGGTTTAATGACAATTCACAAATATAAATTAAATAACCTGGATATCCCAGCTTTCAATAGTCACTAGTTACAATTATGGAAGTGTATATTTATACATTGTTGAAAAGATTAAAAGCTGAACTCCGGAAGATGCAAAAGACACAAATTAAAGGGAAATTCCATCTTTTGAAAAAATAAATGCACACATATATGCATTTATTATTATTTTCGCATAGGAGCCAGTAAAGCATTGCAACTGATCAGTGGATTGCAGGTGCAATGTTCTGGATTCTGCAGATTCTTCCTCCCATCCCTATGTGTAGCGAGGTACAGAATTCAGTAACAGGGACAGGAGGAAGTGTTAATGGAAGTGAGGTGACACACTTGTAGTCCATTGACACTTTCTCCTCTGGGGGGTGAGGGGGGGGGGGGGGTGAAATTTAAAACTTTTTCTGT